GGAGGGACAGCGCAGGAGAGGAAGTCCCTCTATGAGGTGGATTGATTCAGTGACTGGGATAATTGGGATGGGAGTGTCGGAAACAGTGCGATTGGCACAGGATAGAGCAGAGTTTAGGGCTGTTGTACATTGGGTCGCTATGAATCGCAAGCGACTCGATGGCACATAACAATGACAATGGACATTTGAGCCTATTTATTCATAGATACTTTGGTCATCTTTATTAAAATTGTTATATGTAATTAAGTGCTGTGAAGGATTTTTGTGTGAGAGAGATTTGAGTGAAAGTTTATAAACATTTATATTTTTCATCCACTCATTTGTTCCTACTTTGTTTTATAACATTAATTATAATACCTGGAATGTATTTGCACTTCCCCTACTTCTTTAATTCTCATTACTATTAGTCCTTCTGTCATACTTGTTCCTATCTTTTGGGCTTTATCCTTGGTTAAATAATAATTGTTTGGCCATATGTGACTAGTGATTTTAAGGATTGACTGTTTCCCAGTATTGTTCCTGTATAAACGTGTCTATTTGTCTGAGAGTTGAGGCATGATGGGATAAATGTTTTTTTCCATGTTTGAAGGGTGACTGAGGACCGTAGTTTCAGGGTTCCACTGGTCTCTGTCAGATAAGTAAGCCTGTTTCTAATTTTCCTGGCACTCATGAATCAGGACTACTGACCAGTATCATCACCTCAGTGGCAATTGTTATCCATTTCATAACGTGTGCTGTAAATTTGATGTTGCCTGTGTTCTTCTCAGAGCAGGAGACTCAAGACCACAAACTCTGCACAACAGCCATATATACTTCATTTTCTGAGAACTGTGGTTTTCTGAAAGAGCAGACATTTCCCATTCAATATTATCTGAATTGGAGTATCTGAACTAAACTGTTGGCTTTGCTTGCATTGAATAATCTAGTTTATCTTGTAAGGTACAGACTGGTTGTACTTTTCTTTTTTCTTTATTTTTCTCTCTCTCGTTATGTATTCTTGAATCGGATCTGACTGGCCCAGGAGAAGATTGCACCTCTTTCTCCAGCATAGCATCTGGTGGATTCAAACCACGCACCCTTGGGATCTTGTTTTATTTTTTGAGGAATAATTGCAGTTTTTCAGGGGGCAAGATGCTTGTTTGGAAAGGAGAACTTAATACTTGTAATTCTACCTTTTAGGTCTGTATATAGACTCTTGAAATAGACCCTTCCCAGAGTACCGTATAACACATGCAGACTGTCAGTGTTGCCAGTATGGACTTCTTCTCTGTAGGACTTTAGGCACCAGACTGAACAGTAATTTAGGTGAAACTTGAGGAGACCATTCATTAAAGTATCTGTACTCTATGAATTACACTGGACATATATATATTGTTATAAGAGGAGTTAATGGCTATTTTATATCTTTTTCTTTCAAAATTTTCCAGCACAGTCAATTGTAGAAGCAACTCTCCACCCAAAGAAAAATTAAACAGAACCCAAATCACCAGAATTAAACAAACAAAAAAACCAAAGGAACAAAAAACCCCTCTCTTGGTTTCTTTTGAATCTGAGCATAGAAATTTTCAGTGGTCTTATCCTGTAAGTGTGCTAGATATAGATGATGTTGATAACCTTAATATATATTGACTTGAAAAGAGCTAATTTGATGCATTGTTTAATATCATTTACAATCTATACTAACCCCCCCAAAATAAAACTTTGATAGAGTGGTGACAAGATAGGAATGCCACTTCACATCACATTTTTACTTGGCATGCTTTAATTAAGTAAAAAAAAGACAAACCCTCTGTTGTCTAGTTGATTCTGACCCATGCATGTGTTAACCCTCTATTGAGTTTTGGAGGCTGTAAATTTTAATGGGAGGAGACTGCCTTATCTTTCTCTCACAGAGCAGCTGGTGGGTCCTAAATGCTAACCTTTAGGTTAATAGCCCGACACTTGACCTACTATACTTCCAGAACTCCTTCTTAGGACCGCACAGATTGAAGGCTTTTTTCCCTTGGAAACCAATGTAATAAGAGTGAAAGTTCTCCTCCAAACCTTACCCTGGCTTTGATGGTTGAGAGCATGGCAAGCATCACTTAGGATGAGATGAACAGTTTCCTCCTCTGGTTCGGCCCCTGGCCTCTCTGCTGAGCTTATCTTCCACAGGGCCCATTAATATGTCTGGTTGGTAATAGCATATAGTTTCCCTTTCCCATTGCTTATTACTGGAAGACCCAGAGTTCATTTTAATTACATAATGCTAACATGATAGTAATACTCGATTTTAAAATCCACATTTTATATATATAGCCCTTTCTACCTAGATGGATTACTTCCAGAAGATGAGTATAGTGGAAAGTGACTCCCATTATCCTTGTTGCTCGTGTTAATTAGTATTCCTTTGCATGGAGCTGTCCTGGGAGCTCCCCATCCAAGAAGATGAAAGCCATGTTACTACATTTTCTAATTAGCAGGAAAGCAAGTGGCTGTTTGTGATAGTCTTGAGGAAATCAATAGACTGGAAAACTTTAGGGCAGATGATTCAGTCTCTGTTTCTCTGAACTCTATCTGAGGGCACCTGTCAAGGTATTGAAAGAGAATAGGCATAGTCAGGTTCTAGACTAGAGGGAGTTGGCTGGCCCAAGCTCCACACCGTACCCTGTGTCACTCGAAGATGACTAGAAGGAGTAACTGAGAAAAAGACTAAAGACGTTTTCTTTTGCAGCTGCAGCTGTGATCCTCGGCTGTCTATCGGCATTGAAGAGACCTGATGTTTTACGTTATTGGTGAGTTGTGGCAAGAATTGTCTTTATTACCTTTTTGTTAGAGTTGTTTACGTCCTTTTTCTGATCTCCCTGCCTACCTCCCCCTTTTTCCTTGAAAACAGAAGGAGAAATACTTCCCTTCATGCCAGAATATACCACCACAGAGTTGGCAGTGGAGTTCATTCATTTGGGAAATATTTACTGAGTAATTGTAGTCAGTGCCAGAAACTGTTTACTGTTAAGTCAAAGTTGAATAAGGGAAAAATCTGCCTTCCAGGAGTTCCTAACATGAAGAGTTGCAGATCAGATAAAAAGAGGAAAGTCAGGTGTATGTACAGGAGTCTAAGAGACCCCTGAAGAGGAAACACCTAACTGGTGGAGGACTGGCAAGGGCTTTATGGGAGATTTGCTGCTTAAAGTGAGACTTGAAGGATGAGGTGCAGGTGCCAAGTGGACAAGGGAGGGAAGGCGTCCAAATGGTGGGAACAGATAGCACATTCTTTCTGCCACCAATGTTAAGACCTAGCACGGCGGAGGTGGAAGAGTTACGGGGAAGCCTACATTATGTGTTGTCCATGGTGTGGAATGAAGGTTGGCAAACTTTTATGACAGGGCCAGCTTGAAAAAATTTCTGGGACCATATGGTGTCAATTACAGTTGTACAGCTCTCAGTGCAGTGCAGAAGCTGCGATAGGCAGGGTGTAAATGAGTGGGAGTGCCTGTGTTCCAGTAAAACTGTATAAAACCAAGTGCTGGGATTGATCCAAAGGTGTAGTTACTGACCCTGACTAGAGGTTCCCTTTACACCCATAGATGGGTAGATGGGCCATGTGCCTTTGAAGTCGTACAATCTCCCCCTGATGATCTTTTAAATTTTGAAAGATGGCTAGTCTATTCCATAATGAGAAGTTTCTTTCCGTAATGAGTGACTATAAAGAGTAACTGGCAGATGGTGTGTGTATTCTCTCTTTTACATAGGTGGAATCACAGTGTCTGTGGTTGCATTCTTCTTCACAATTAAGTTCCTCTTTGAGCTTGCCGCACGTGTAGTCAGCTTCCTCCAGAATGAGGACCGTGAGCGTCGAGGGGACCGGACTATTTATGACTACGTGCGGGGCAATTACCTGGATCCCCGGTCTTGCAAAGTCTCCTGGGATTGGAAGGACCCCTATGAGGTGGGCCACAGCATGGCCTTCCGAGTGCATGTAAGGGACTGTTTCTGTCTCCATACCCACTGGGCTTTCTGAGTCACTTGCTTTGCAGAGCCTATTTAGTCTTGTTGGTAGTGTTGACCTGGAATGTTAACATTTTCCTGGTCTTTTCCTCTCCCAGGAATTTGGAAATGAGTTAATATGTGAAGAGTCAGGATCTGTCTGTCATTGTGGTTTATTAATAGATGAGAGAAAGGAAAAAAAAATGAGATAAATAATACAGAAAAGACTTTGTAAATGTGAACCCAGCGCCAAGTCAAGCTAATTGCCTGTTACTTTAAGTAAAAACTTTGTGCCATAGGCACACCATTTATTATGTATTGACAATGGCTGCTTTTACAGTTGAATAGTTACACTTAAGGTTTTGCATATGATTGCCAACATTGGGAATATTAACTGTTGTCCTTTTATGGAAAAAGTTTTCTGATCCCTGCAACAATTTCCACATAGCAACTTTGAGCTTGATGGGGAACTGAATCTCCACCTACCCTGCAGTCCACTAAATACTAATTGTACTAGCTGTCTTGCCTCTTTTTTTAAATTTAATTGTATTTTATTATTTTGTGTGTGTCTACCGTTAAATCGGATTTGACTGGTACAGGAGAAGGTTGCCCCTCCTCCTCCAGCAGAGCATCTGGTGGATTTGAACTGCGTGCCTCTGGGATTGCAGTGCAACTTTTTCCACTAGACCACCAGAGCTCCCGCTGGCTTGCCTTATAAGCTTGAGAGGGCATTGATAATAGAAAGAGCTGCTAAGATCGGGGCAGGATTGTGGATGAGAGATGTCAAGTTTAAATTATTTTCTTGATTCCATGTTATGTTTTACTTCTGTCCTCTGAACAGATAAATATTGGCTTATGATTTCTTTGAGATGTTGAGAGAATTTATTTCCACCTGTGTTTCTGTGAACAAGTTAGTAGCATTATCAATCCTGGGGTTCACTAATGAGCGTCTTCCCCTGATTTTAGTTGTTCTATAAGAACGGGCAGCCTTTCCCCGCACATCGGCCGGTGGGACTGAGAGTTCACATCTCCCATGTTGAACTCGCAGTGGAAATTCCGGTGACCCAGGAAGTCCTTCAGGAGCCCACTTCCAACGTGGTAAAAGTGGCCTTCACTGTGCGCAGAGCTGGGCGTTATGAAATCACAGTGAAGCTTGGTGGATTAAATGTGGCCTACAGTCCTTACTACAAAATTTTTCAACCTGGTAGGTTTTCTTTTTTCTTTCTCTTTAAAAAGAATATCTTTCGTTTCTTTAAAAAAATATTTTTTATTCATTTTCATACAGTAGTTCATTTACATTGTGTTTACTAAAATTGTTCATATTCACTGTATCCTATATAATTAATCACCGTTGATTTATACCTATTATTACACCGTCTTTTCAAGTCCCGTTGAATTGTTTCCATTCCCTCATCCTCACACCAGTCCATCCACCAAACTCTGCCGTCCTAGTGATTTCCACTCTTCCCATTTTTCCACCCATTCCCGCTTACCTCTTCCCCTTTTGGACATTTGTACACATTTTACTAGTTACTCTTTTATTTTTATACTGATAATCTTGTACAGTATGTGGCCTTATATGAGTTAGTTCACTCAGCATAATACTCTCTAAAGTCTCCCATGTTATATAGTATTTTCAAAGTTGTTATTCCTTAATGTTGCATAGTATTCCATTATATGAATAGAATATACCACCGTTTCTCAGTCTCTGTTTATTGATGGATATTTTGGCTGTTTGTGTGTTCTTGCTAATGTGAATAACGTTGCTATGAACATAGGCATACATATATCTCTGGTCGTGTCTCAGTTCTAATTTCCTTTCCTTGTATTCCTAACAGTGGAAAAGCTGGGTCATATGTGATTTCTGTGTTCAGGTTTTTGAGGAAACTCTATATTGCCTTCCAGAATGGTTATACAATTAAAATAACATCTTTATTGAGATCTAATGAACATACTGTACAGTTCATTCATTTAAATCACACAATTTTGTCGGGTTTTTTTAATATACATAGAGTTGTATAACTGTCACCAAAATCCATTTTTTTTTCTATATTTTATCAATTTTCATAAACATTTACAGAGATTTTGGGTTTCCATTCATTCCTTGTTGCACTATTCTCTCTACCCTCCTCCCAGTTTGTTCTTGTCCAAATGCCACAGTGCTTGTCAAAGCCAGTTCTGATTAATCTTCTTTGTCAGTGTGTCCTTTGCCATTCCCTATCACTCCTCCCTGAGAGAGACTTCACCCTGAATCATAAGGAAAAGGGGATGGCGTATTCTCTTAGCTACGTCCTGCTGAAAAGGGACGCTGTGGGTTTCAGGGTGAAGATCTTCTCTCACTACTCTAAAGGGCCCCTTTGGCAGTAGGAAACACATAGACTATTATGGAGATTGATTTTGGGATTTAGATGCACTCTTATTGATTGTGCTTGGCCGTACATGTTCATATCCTTGACCAAAATCCATTTTAGAACATTTTCATAATTTCAAAAAGAAGTGATATCCGTTAGCAATCCCTTCCTATTTCCTCCAAGACTCCACAGCTCTGGGCAACCACCAGTTGACTTTCTGTCTCTGTGGACGTGCCATTTCATAGAAATGGAATGGTAACATATATGGCCTTGACCACCAGTTGACTTTCTGTCTCTGTGGACGTGCCATTTCATAGAAATGGAATGGTAACATATGTGGCCTTGGACTCTATCTGCTTTTACTTAGCGTAAAGTGCAAATATATTGCTGCAAGGAGCCCTGGTGAGATAATATGTAATGTGTAGGGAGAGCTCTGCTGGCCTATTGGCAAGAAGCTGCATTGCAATCCCAGAGGTGAGTGGTTTGAATCCACCAGATGCTCTGCTGGAGAGGGAGGGACTATAGTCCTTGACCTTCTGCAGTAAACACTTCAGGTATTCCTTAGTTTTGGCGAGCAAGGTTGTATCATCTGCATAGCACAGGTTGTTGACAAGTCTTCCTCCAATACTAATGCCATACTCTGCCTCATAAAGTCCAGTCTCTCCAGCGTACAGATTGAAAAGGTATGGAGACAGGACACATCCCTGATACACTCCTTTCCTAATTTTGAACTAAGCAGTGTATCCTTGTTCTGTCCTGATGACTCCAAGGTTCAGTATAGATGTCCTCCTGGTCCAAGTATAGGTTTCACATGAGCACAATCAGGTGTTCTGGGATTCCTATTCTTCTCACGGTTAGCCAGTTTGTTGTGATCCGCAGTCAAATGCCTTTGCATAGCCAATGAAACACAGATAGACGTTCCTCTGGTATTTTTGCTTTCAGCCAAGATTTATTTGACATTAGCAATAATGTCTCGTGCCATGACCTCTTCTAAACCAGGCTTGTATTTCTCGTAGTACTCTGTCAACGTACTGTTCAGTACTGAGAGACAAACTCCACAGAATGGAACCAAGTAAGTAGAGGCCTACAAAGCCTACTCTGTTGTGAACTTACGGAATACATGAGTTGTTCTTATTCATCTTGGCAAATTGTGAACCAAGGCGTAAAAGAGAAGAGAGACCTCGAGTGAGGCAACTGAGAACAAGAAGAGAGAGGAAGGAAAAAAACCAGCAAAACAACATAGGCTGCAGTTCACGCAAAGGAACTGAAGACGATTTAAAAAGCTTAACAACGAGAATGGAGTTCCTGTTTGGACAAAGAAGTCTTAATTAATTTTTACTATTTTTTCATCTTTAGAACCAGGACCTTGATGAGTTGATTCATCATGGTATTTATGTATATTGTTGTTGTTGTTATGTGCCATCGAGTTGTTTGCGACTCATAGCGACCCTATGTACAAGAGCTCTAAACTCCGTTCTGTTCTGTGCTAACCTAGCCATCTCAAACGCACTCATTCCCACCATTCCAGTCACAGAATCTATCCATCTCATCGAAGGTCTTCCTCTCCTGCGCTGCCCATCCACTCTGCCAAACATGATGTCCCTCTCCAAGGACCAGTCCCTCCTTGCAACATGCCCAAAGTATGTCAAACGAAGCTTCAGAATCCTTGACTCCAAGGAGCACTCCAGCTTCACCTCTAGGACAAACCTGTTTGTTCTCCTAGCAGTCCATGGTATATTCAACACTCTTCTCCAGCACCACAGCTC